GGCCAAGTCCTTATTTGGGGGGGTCAAAAGAAAATAAGACCCTGTCTTATTTCCGGGAAAACACAGTAAGTACAAATTCAGTGTATCTGAAAAGTTCCAGGTTGGAGAATGTCAGATGGAAAATAATGAGGAATTATACTGTGTAACATTTCAAAAAGCAAATGCAGTAGATGTGAATGGCTGACTGAAAGTACCAGTATTCCTTGAGCAAAGGTAAACAAAAGCTATATTTGAGAGAGGCTCATGTCACTTTAACTGGGCTTTTAAAGTGATCTTTTTTTTTCCTATTCCAGCCTGTTTTTGGAAATACTGTGTGCAAAGCAAGTAATTGCTTGAAAGTGTTGTCTCATCAAACCATTCTGGTGATTACAGAATTGAAGCCTGACAATGAAATCTTCGGAATCTGAAGACTTCTTCCACAACAGTATTAGTGCAAATAACAATTTGAGCATGTTTTGCTTTGTGTTCATATATATTTAAAATACATCTCAGTATTTAAGGCTTGTACTATTTTTTAAAAAATATAATAAAATAATTTTTATATGAACCATGGTATATCAATCAAATCTTGACAGGAATAAAGTGTTAAATCTTTCTGGATGACAATTGTCAGATTACACAGGTGGCAAAACATGAGTGTTTCTTCAAATAATGCAAAAAGAAAAAAAAAACATGTCCTCTAGGACCGAGGATATCCATAGAAGGTACTGGGAAATCTGTAGGATACCTAAGAAATTTGTATGTCCGTAGCTTGGAATGTTATTATTCATAGCACTTCCTTTGATCCACAGGCTTTTAGATGCAACAAATCTGTGTCCAAACAGATCTGAATTATAGATACGGCCTATACACATATACCGGTACTTTTTTAGTCTTCTATTCAACTCAAATTTATGACTGGTAAATTTCATGCAGTTTAATTTGGAATTAGACTCAGAAAATTACAAACCTCCCCCCTTTTTTCTGTATTCAGTTACACCGAATAATTTTAATGTTGACACTTTTTTACTTGTGCAATGTGATCTAAATGCCACTCAAAGTCCATGCGCAAGTCTCTGAACCATCAATCATCATCTTCATCCTTTCTGCTTCTTTGGCAGTAGCAGCCTCAATGTTCGAGAGAGTTTAACTGGTTTGCAGTCTGTAAGTCTCTTTGCTCCTGTCTAAAAAGCTAATATTGCAAAATACATCAAGAACTTTGAGAAATACAGCTTTCAGTGCTGGTATAACATTGTGTATCATTGTGTGCCTGGAACTTTGTGTGTCTGGAAAATAGATTTTTCAGGCTCTTGTGCCTTAAATGGTATCATGACAGATATACCTAAATACAGTATTATAGTCCATGAAATCTTGGTTGGAAAACCATATTTCCATGCTACGTGAGATGCTGTCATTCACTATATCAGTAGTAACAACAGTAGCACTGCTAACATGTTTACTTTGCTAATACTGTTTGGAAAAATGCAATAATTACGGTAGTAAATAATGCTGAAGACTTTGAGCAGGACACGTTCAAGTCAGAGTTAACTGTTGATGGCTTTAGGAAACTCATCAACCCTTGAGCATTGTTAAAACAGCCAGCTCTATTCAGGAATAAAAAGTACTACAAGGTAAGTATATAATGAGGAATATAAAACATAGGACGTGAGAATCCACAAGCACCTTTCAAAATCTTCTTTTAAAAAATTAGCTTTTATTTATAAATGGCTGTAAAGTGCTTGCAAAGAGACAAGGTGCTGGTTTGGTACTTGATTAGCAGGACTTTAGGAATTGGATAGCTACTTGTGAGAGTTTTCTTTGAGCTGAATTATATATGAACATTTTATATTTTTACTAAAATTATTCCAAGAATATTCTGATTCAATTGTTTTATCATTCTTATTTCTGATTATGAAATAAACTAATAAAAGATTATTTTCAAGAAGTGTAACTTGTACAATGAGCTGCTCATTTTTTTCTATGTCTAATAAAAGCACAGTGTCCTCCTTCCTATCACCATAAACCATGATTACACTTTTTGAAATGGTATTGAAATGGAATAATATTAAGCAAATGGCTAATACTTCCATTTAAATCAACCACGTATATTTAATTTTAATAGTTTTGATACAAATGTTTTCCTAATTCTTCCATTTCCCTAGACTTAGTAAGTACAAACTTAAAATACAGATCAACATATTTAAATCTTAATTTATATATTTTATATTCAACTATATAAGGTATATTAACTACAATACTTAATTATATTGTTTCTATATGTTTCAACAGATTGAATTAATATTTATTTTAAAAATTTGCCAATCATCTCATCCTAAGAATATTTGTTTCTTGTAATATATTAAATATAACATTTATCTTGATTTGATTGCAGATAGGAGAAGGGAAAAATAATTTCATTATGTGCTAAATTAATCATGAGTGTAAAATAAGAGTGCAAAAGTTGAAAATGTTATGCCAGTAGTAAAAAATGGAAACAAAATAGACATCTCAATTTTCATTTCTGAGGTAAAATTTCTTGGTAGCCATAGAGATAATTCCTAGCTACCACAAGGTACTCAGCGAATAGAATAGAATAACAGAGTTGGAAAGGACCTTGAAGGTCTTCTAGTCCAACCCCCTGATTAGGCAGGAAACCCTACACCACTTCAGACTTCCTTTTTACATCCTGGCAACCAAAATTGGATGCAGTATTCCAAATGTGACCTTACCAGACATTATAAAGTGGTATTAACACTTCATGTGTTCTTGATTCTATCCCTCTGTTTATGCAGCCTAGAACTGTGTTGGCCTTTTTGGCAACTGCAGCACACTGCTGGCTCATATTTAAACAATTGTCCACTAGGACTCCAAGATCCCTCTCAGAGTTACTACTATTGAACAAGGTACCACATATACTGTACCTGTGCATTTTTTCTTGCCTAAATGTTCAGTTTTAATAACCTCTATGGATTTAAATAAAAATCCTATTGAATGTGAACCACCAAACCAACTATATGTCTTGTGTAATGAAACTGATTTATTTAAGTAAAATATTTGGAGGGGGGTGCTACATTCACAGAATTAAACCAATTTTAATTGAAAGTGAATATATCTCTGACAAATCCTTCATGCAAATATTATAGAGAATTCATAGTAGCTTCTTTTTGCCTTTACATCAAAGTATTAAACCTTGCATAAGGTGTTCTATGTTCCAAATATGAAATTAACGGGCTTCTTTTTCCATAAAAGCCAGTTCATATTTGGTGAATTTTATATAAACATTTGTTTTATTGCTCCATGTATCTTGAGAGAAAATGAAGTAATTTCTTTATAAGACTTCACACTCAGACTCAATTTGGCAATAGCTCTGAAACAAAACAGAGACTGTAACACATTTGAATGAGAACAGGAATCTGTCTCCATTTAAGAGACCTAAGAGGGTAAATGTACCCTCATAGTTAAAAGGGATTATGAGTTCAACAATAAGGCCGTCTCTGTTGCTGTCTGGCTTTCCCTCACTAATGAATAACTTTCATTGCAGACAACAGTAGGATTAGGAGCTTTGACATCTGCCTTGTAGGTCAATGTTAAATGCTTGGAAGTTGATGCAGCAGTGCTTGAGATTATATACCACATAATACGAAAATGGGCATTTACATCTGCAGCCAGACTGTCCTAGAGATGTAGAACTCTATGAAACAAGTGCACAGGTGCAATTCTCTGTGGTTGGAATGAATGGATGAATGACAACAGATCAGGAAATTACCAATGCAAGTCCTACATTTGCAGACACCAAAAATTTTCCCCAGCATCTAACCAAATAAAAAAATAATTTAAAATAAGGCCAAAATGAACTTGCCCAATCATTTGCAAGATGATGTATTTACTTACTTACTTACTTACTTACTTACCATACTTATTATATCCCTTTATTTTATTGAATTATTTTTACACTAACTCAAGGCAGCAAACATCTCCAACACACAGTCCTCCTCCTATCCCAAATGTGCTTTTCAAAAGGCAACTTGACATTGTTGGTTTTTTTCCTTGAATTGAAGAAGCTTCTTGGATGAGAAATGAAATATTTTCAGGAGGAAAAAAACCCAACAAAGTCCACTTGCCTTTTGAAAAGCACCTTTGGGACAAGCATGACCTGGTTGATTGAGAATCTCCATAGACATTCCTCCTATAACCCTGTGAGGTGAGAGGAAGTGACTGGCCCAGTCACCTAGCTGATTCTCATGACTAAGGTAGAGCTTGAATTCATGGTCTTTTGTTTTCTAGCCTTAACCGCTAGAGCAAAGGAATAGCAAGAACTTGGCATTAATATATAAATTTCAGATGAAAAAGCTGAAATCCTCCAGTAACGGCAAGAGAAAATAATGGAATCTTATATATCAAAGGTGACAATGTTAAAAGTTAAGTATTTATGTACGTACAGTATTTATTAATTTATATTTAATTTTATGGTGTCTGGTGCTATATAAACGTATCTGAAGTCTTTTAGTTGTTATTCCCAATGCCATAGAAGCTGGAGTGTATCAAATCCTCTGTGCCTTATTATCCGTGTATAAAATTGGATGACTTTAAGCAATCGTAATTTATTTGCAGAACAACATCGATAATTATTCTTCAGTGTTCTTATTAGATCTGGAAGCATAGCAAAGGTATATGGCTTCAGTTAAGTTCATTAAATTTTAACTCTATCTAACCTCTTGTGTTTGTAATGGAGGAAAATAATTACCAGAAGCCTAACACCTAATTATTATATAATGTAAATGTCACTATTCTTGAGAATGTTTTAGTTTATATGAAACTTAACATACAATACATATGTCTAGTTCATTTGCATATCCACAATTGCACACACACACACACAAAATCCCCTGCACACTATACTTTGTAATAAGTAGATTAATAAAATAATTTTCCCAGGAAAATTCTCCATTTTTTAACTTTGCTGATGAATGGATGCTTTGCTTTTGATTCAATTTTTTTAAAAAAAACACTCAGAACAAATATAAGACACAGAACATTCTTGATTTATTTCATTCTTTTTGCAACATCCAGGTAGGCATATTCTATTTCCCGATCTGCAGGGCATGTATTTATGAACTCATCCCTATCATATGCATTATTCAAATATCTCCAGATACCAGTCATTTCAGATGGAAATTCAAAATTTCTAAACTTCTTTGCCACAACCTTAAAAAAAAATAAATGAAATCGTTATCAATAGAGTACTGTTCTTATGTAATTAGTAGAAAACAAAAATATGGTGATAGAAAATTGTACAAACTGAACTTTAATGTAGCACTAAAAGGTATTTTAGACCTTGCATTTTGAAAAACAGATAATCTGGAAAAAATAGGACATTCACAGTTTTTGGTCTTCATTAATTGACTTGAATTAAAGGGATAAAATAGATTCAAGTTAAAGTAAGGATTTTTAAAATATTAAATGTAAGGCAAATATGGGTTGAAATTATAATTTTTTGGACATGGTTTATATGACAAATTAGAATAAATACTACATTAATGTGCATGCAAACATAGTTTGAAGTATTCAGTATAAAATAAATGTAAAGGAGGAATTATTGTTGCATGCATTACTCATTTTTACATAAAGGGGGGAAAAAACAAACCTTGATGATATGAAGCTTTGGCAAGAGATTGCAATCTGCCAATGTGAGTTCATCACCATCTAGGAATTTCCTTGTGGAAACAGTGATGTCTTCAGTGCTATTGGCATCTATTTCTTCAGGCAAGGGGGTATTTAAGTAAGTATTCAGTTTATTTAAAGCCTTAAGCAATGTTTTTTCTAAATCTAAAATAAAAAAGAAGAATAATGGAATTCACTATTTGTTCACTGATAATTAAGTAGCCAAAACAGCAACACCCATAAAGAGGAAGACAACAGTCTGTATACTTTGAGGGAGAAATCTGATACGTGCTATAATAGAAAGATGTTGAGAAAATAACTTGAAAAAATACTTCCCATCCCACTCAACTCTCCACACATTCACTACACAAGTGACAAAGCTGCCCATGTGGGAGAAAGGAGAAGATATAATTTTCAGAACAGTGGAGCCAAGCTCTTGCACTATCAATCTGGTCTGAACACAGTGACAAATGGATCAAGTTTAATGGTAAAGAACAGACTAAAGGAGAAAAAAATAGGTATATTCAGGTAGCGAACTGGAGAATAAATCAGGTTGGGTGGTGTTTTAACATATAATAATCTAAAGGAAACAAGTAAACTACTAAACATGATGAAGTATGATCAATAGTCACAAAACATTAGCTACCAATTAGAAAAGAAACTAAATGAATAAAAGCGGGGGGGGGGAAGAAAAAAGCAAATAAAATAAATTACTCTAAAGGGGTGTTTTTGAAACTGCTATTGCATATAAAATCCTTGGCTAGCTATAATGATATGATAGCTTTGGGACAATTTTGCAACCAAGCACTTTTCTCTCCCAGGAGCTGTAACCAAGGTTGCATATTGCTGAAAGACTGTAATCTAGGCAGGAGTAAGATAAATAGCTATAGAAAGGGTTCTTGAACAGGGCACTGAAAGTTAACTCAAGGGTAGAACTTGTGAAAGAAATAATCTAAGACAATGGAAATTATCTCACTACCTTCTGCATTCATCAAATCAGAACAGAAACACATCCTATCGTTTTTGAGACAATGACTCAAAAAACAAGCAAACAAAAAATCCAGAAGCCACAGCCTGTTTTTAGTCCATTGCTAAAACAAAATGGGGGCGGGGATCCTCTTTATTAGTTTTCCCACAACTCTCTTTACTTAGGCTACTGGGCATGCTGGAACACTAGCAAGAACATGTACAGAGTCAAGCTACCCAGCTCAATCCCAACTGCCTTTCTCCATTCCTCTAGTTCTATGTAAACAAGAATTTTGAGGGTTGTTGTGGAGGCCTGTAAATCAAGGTAGTATTCTCTTGTAAGGGATCTGTGACTTGAATGCTACATTAGCAGAAGCTTATGAAAAGAAACAAACCTGAAAGTTCTGCAAAAAAATTTATTAATGCAGATAGAATGATCGCATTTTGGTCTTTGCAATTCTGGATTTCCTGCAGGTGAGTTAATAGATATAGGTGCCAAACACAGATGACATGGAGTCTATGGAAACTGAAGCAGAGCAAAGTTTATAATACTTACGTTCATTGACATCTTCCCTTGTATTTTTTATGAATGCAGAAAATTTAGCAAAGACATCATTTCCTGCAGAGTAAGATTCTGTATGTTTTGGTGCAAGTTTAGGATATCTGAAAATTTAACATATAAGAATTTAATGCCATCTAATTATTTTTCAGCATTGTATTTGAAACTCTGAAATAGAACTAAACTGCCTGTGCCAATCATATCCCTTACCTATCCATTAGCCATCTTTAATCTTTTTCACTCCACAGTCTCTTGATACCCAATGATTTAAGAATATTCAAGACTCATTCTATATAACATGAAACTAATCGTAGCACAGCAGAATACTGTACCTTGGTGGTGCTAACTTTTCTTCTAGAAATTCTTCAATTTTATTTACATCTATTTTAACATCATCATCAAAAGTTATAAATGGAGGATTTGTTCCTGGAGCTAATTTCTGTAAGTCTGCAGGTTTCCTATTCAAAAAAGAAATAACTTGTTTGAGGAAAACAAAAACTGGTCAACTGTACAAATTATTGCATTTTAATTCAGCTACCTATCTTGGAATTTAAAATTGTGATTGCCAATGTGGTATTTAAGTACATTTATTGGAAGTAAATTATATTTAGTTCAGACTAGGTAGACATTTTTTTCTTGTTTAGGGTTGAGGGAGTTAGCAAAACCTATCAATTATGTCATTCAAGGAGATTCAAAAGGGTTAATAGCAAAACAACTCTTCTCTGTGGAAGTGGAAAGATGCTATACTAATATGACTTTGGAAGAATATGTCTTCTCTTAGCATTCTGGCCATCATAAAGAAAGAGATAGCTTGACTAATCTTCCCTCTGACGCTTTAGATGGTGGTAACTCTAAACAATACAATATATATTTTTCATTATTTTTTGGGAAATGTGGGGGGGAAGAAATAGGGAAACATGGTTTTCCCTCTCTTCATGGCAGCTGGGAAGACTACAAAAATTGTGACTTTCTCTTTTCCTTGAAATATCTGGGAAAAAAGAACTGATGATATCCAGAAATGATCAACTGATTGGGAAAGTGACCAACACAATGTCAATCCTTATGTCAGCTCCTGACACAGCAATAAATCAGGCATTATATGAGGAAAGCCATATGAGTCTATGATGGCAAAATTTTGGTAGCATCTTTTCCAATTGACACATTTTCTCCAAAGGCATAACCTTATTAATCTAGATTTCCCTTCATCAGACACATAGAAAGGCTATTCTAATATAGAATTTAATTAAGGGCGAGGCAGAGAGTGGGGAGGAAGAGTTGATTATGCAGTTAAAAGTTAAACGTGAAATGGATTACCAGTATTTTATCAAAAGCTGTATTAATAAACTATTATATTTCTTGAGATTTTCTGAAATTGCCTGAAACCTTATACCTGTGGAAGTTTAACCATTTCTCATTCAATGGTGCTGTTGAAGTCCTGTTTTTCCAAAACAGTCACTTAATGATATGTCATACAGTACTAAAGGAGTACTGTATTATCAAAATGCTTTGATAATAGTCACTGTTTTGGAAAAATTCCCAATTTTTTTCTCTACATGGACAAGCATCGCTAGGAACTAAATCTTTATTGTAATTCTGGAATGGCAGCCAAAACAGACACTTGACACTCTCTAAACAGACAGAAGACATAGTTCCAAATTTATATCTAAAACTGTATAAAAATTATATTATACCTAAAACATGCAATTATTTCATGACAGTGAAGGAACCGATAAGAAGTCACTTGGATTTAATGAAAGTTTACAAATACCTCTCTAAGTAATTAGAAATATAAATTCTGGGCCTGGAAGCTAAAAGATTTAATATTAAAAATAAATAAATATTAAAAATAAATAAATGGAGAAAAAGCATTATAACTCACCGTTTCAAATCCACAGTGGTAACATTAAAAATAACACCCTTTAGCCAGAGAATCATGAAGAGACGTTGAGAAAATGGGCAGTTTCCAATACTTTCCCCATCACTGCCAGCCTACGGCAAGAATGAAGATTAATTGAACTACTGGCATTAATTTAAGATGTTCAATCATTAGTTCATGATGCACATAGTCCATGTCTCCCATAATTTCAGCCTCAGTGCTCCCTTGAAGTTTCTTCCCTTGTTTCTTCCAGATACATAATTAAATGACAGCCACACTGTACCATTTTTCCTGTCTGGTTTGCCTCTACATCAGGAGTCTCCAATCCCCAAGCCGCAGCCCACTACCAAGCTTTGAGCCTTTCAGAACCGGGCCGTGGAAGTGACGGGCAACCAGGTATCCCCACTTGCCCAAGCAGCGGGCGTATGTGCTCCATTTGCATGAGTGGTGGGTGAGCGTGCGCGCTGCTCATGCAAATGGAGCTGTGCGTGTGCTTGCCCCCATCCACAGAGAACCATCCCCTTTCTCCCCCCCCACCCAAAGCTGGAAAGGTTGGGGAACTTTTCTCTAGATCTTTTCAGCTAAACAGAAGATAGGAATATTTCAGAATAAAATGTACAATGAGAGAGATTCAAGTCTCCTTGCAATCATGAAATTAAGAGTTTGCAATCATTTTCATGTTCAAATCAAATTTATTAAATCAAATTTATTAATTTAAGGATTGATATAATTAGGCCATGTGTAACTGACAGACTTGATGCCAAATTATGGTTTTAATATATATTTTATCTGTTATTATTTTTATTCTAGAATTTTTAACTGGATAGTCATTGAATGTTTTTATTTGTTCTAGTCTCTGGTCTTTGACTGTAATAATAATAAACTTGATTTGTTAATTTAATTTTAATGTAACTTATAACTAGATTCTACACACTTCTTGGGAAGTGTGGCCCACAATAAAAGATTTGGAAGCTGAAAGGCTGCAAAAATAGTTTGAGTTGGCATCTGATTCAAGATCCTCAGGTTGGCCATGCCTGGCTTATAGTATAACTTCTTGGGTAAACTCTACCAGTTGTAGTTTATCCAACAAACCAGTTAAAATGGCTTGGAGTAATGTATGATGCTAGCAAAAAAGCTTCTGTCAAGGCCCAGAGACACTAACATGGAAGAGAAGACATTAACTGTCAGTTATGAGTTTTACATTTATACATAAAGAAACATATTAACTAGCTGCTATTCTTTAGTTATATATTCTAAACTACAAAAAGAAGTGTTCACTTCTTAAATATATGAAATAAGTATGAAATATATAAATTTGAGGGGGATGTTATGGTCTTCCTTGTAGTATCTGGACTATAATGTAAAAAGCACCATTTTCAAAGGTAAAATCAGAAAATTATCCTGTAATCTTCAACTCCTACATTGCAAAAACATATGGATTACAAATCTCGATCAGGGCAAAGCAATAGATGCAATTTACATAGACTTCTGTAAAACCTTTGATTCAGTGGTACACGACAAACTACTTCTAAAACTAATTTAATTTAATTTAATTTAATTAATCACATTTCTATGCCGCCCAACTCCCAAGGGACTCTGGGCAACTAAAATCTTATGGCATTTCAAATCCTGTACCTCTCAACAGCGGAGTCCCCCAAGGCAGCGTTTTAGGATCAACACTCTTTATACTTTACATAAATGACCTTTGCGATCATATTAAAAGCAACTGCATTCTCTTCGCTGATAAAGTAAAACTATTTAACACCACCGACAATACTACTACCCTTCAAAAAGACCTTGACTATGTGTCAGAATGATTAAACAAGTGGCAACTTCAAATCTCAACCAACAAATGCTCTGTCTTACACTTTGGCCAAAAAAAAAAAAAATTGAGAACATAAAATACAAGCTGGATGGACATGACCTTGTAGACGACCCTCACTCTGTCAAGGACCTTGGAGTACTCATCTCTAATGATCTAAGTGCCAAAGCCCACTGTAACAACATTGCCAAAAAGGCATTAAGAGTTGTTAACCTAATCTTGTGTAGCTTCTTCTCTGGTAATATTGTACTGCTAACTAGAGCATACAAAACATTTGCTAGACCAATTCTCAAATACAGCTCATCTGTCTAGAACTCACACTGCATATCGGACATTAATACAATTGAGAGAGTCCAGAGATATTTGACGAGACGAGTCCTCCACTCCTCTGCTAACAACAGAATAACTTATGCCACCAGACTTGGAATTCTGGGCTTAGAAAACTTAGAACTACACCGTCTTCAGTATGACCTAACCGTAGCTCATAAAATTATCTGCTATAACGTCCTACCTGTCAATGACTACTTCAGCTTCAACCATAACAATACATGAGCACACAATAGATACAAACCTAAACTGAACCACTCCAAACTCGATTGCAGAAAATATGACTTCAGCAACAGAGTGGTCAATGCACTACCTGACTCTGTGATTTCATCCCAAAACCCTAAAACTTTTAACCTAAGATTGTCTACTGTTGACCACACCCCATTCCTAAGAGGTCTGTAAGGAGCATGTATAAGAGCACCAGCGTGCTTACCGTCCCTGTCCTAATGTTTCCTCTCTTTGTATCTATTTTATGTATTCAATTCATGCTTATACTTATATTATCTAATATGTTCTTGACAAATAAATAAAATAAATAAATAAATAAAATTTATTAGGAGCTTCATGTCAGCACATTCCAAGTGAAGCCAACTCTGACCCCATGTAATTTACGTTCCAGCTCTGACCCTGTTTCCCCCCTCCCCCCCCAAGATGTGTCATCAGTCACATTCTCCAAGGAAGCAATTTAATGGTTTGTAGAGATCACTCCCCTCCAGCCACTGTGGGTGACTGCGGAGATGGCCTTGACAGAGATATGGCTGGAATGTGCTTTTGTTTTGACTGACGTGCTGCAGAGTTCAGCTGCAGAGTTCATTTTCCCATCTCCCTTGCCTATGGCAACTCAAGAGCAGGCCAGGGATGTTTTGCGAGTTGACATAAAGGTGCTGATGAAAGGCAGGAGGATTCCAGAAGCCAGACATTCCAGATGCCAAATGCTGTCAAAATGAAGAATTGGACAGGAGGAGGTCCTCCTCATAGTCACCAGCCTCCACTCAGTACAGGTAGTCCTCGACTTACAACAATTCATTTAGTGACCATTCAAAGTTACAACGGCACTGAAAAAAAGTGAATTATGCATTACAACCTTTGCAGTATCCCCATGATCAGATGATCAAAATTCAGATGCTTGGCAACTGGTTCAAACTTATGACTGTTGCTGTGTCCCAAAGTCATGTGATCACTTTTTGTGATCTTCTGGCAAGCAAAGTCAATGAGAAAACCAGATTCACCAGAAACTGGGTTACTAAACTTATCAGCTGCAATGATTCACTTAACAACTGAGGCAAGAAAGGTCATAAAACAGGACAAAACTCACTTAACACATGTCTCACTTAACAACAGAAATCTTGGACTCAATTGTGGTAATAAATTGAGGACTACCTGTACCCAGTCAACTGAGGTCATACAAGTAACTGTGATAGAGAATGGGTGGGAAGAACTGGGGGACGAGTTAAAGGGCAAAAGAGTTAAGATTCCAGAGAGAGTTAAAAGGAAAAATACATTAGAATACTTAAAATAGCTATAGTCGGAAGAAGATATTGTGTTGGAAATACGGGGCCATAATAAGTGGATAGACTACAGAATAGTGAATGAATCAGAGCTAAATAGAGAAGGAATAATTCCTGGGAATAAAAAAAACAAAATAAAGACTAAGAAAAAACAAAACAAACTCTTTTCATTATAGAGGGATTGTTATGCTGAAATATAATAATTTTCTTTCTGAAAAGACTTGTCTCTTGTCTGGCTTGGACACCATCTCCCCAAGAAAATCCACAGGACCATTTTTGTTTGTATTGGTCTTAAACTCGGTACAACAAGGACAGAAGTGCACAAGCAAGAAATTAATATTACAGTATTTGCTATTTATCCTATTACAAGAATTATGGTTCTAACAGACCAATGCTATTTCTAATCCGTATTTAATAACATGCTAGGAGACCAACTAAAGATCATACATCAATAAGGAAAAAATATAGCCTTGTTAAATTCTTAAAGGGAATTATTTTAACAAAAGAGCATTGTATTCTGGAACATATTATAGGGCTGGGAAAAGGAGATTAACTGGTATTTTAATTACATGTCCTTTAATTACATATTCTTTATATGGTTTCCACTATCCTTAATGTAAATATCATTTAAAATAAAAATCCGTAATGAACTGTGAATAAATACCCTTAATAATATGAGAAGTAGGGAGTTGAAAACAACAGCAATGAGACAAAAATGGGGAAACAATCTAAAATTGATAATCCTAACCTCTGCTCTAGAACCAAATGGTGATATTAAACATGAAAAGCAGGTAGTCTTTGCTTGTGAGCTGGAGTTTTAAAGTTTTTACTTATCTTGGTTATATATTATGAAAAATAGTCTTTCACCAAAATTTAAATATAGAGAAAGGAATTGAAAACAACTACAGGAAATCAGTAAAAGGTTACACTCCTCTGCTGGTTGGATATAGGAAGGGTCATGTAGGCATCTAATCCAATCTTTTGCTCAGAGGAATCTAGATTACAATGTCCCCCCAAAAATGACTTCCCATCTTCGGGGCTTTAACAAGCCAGTAAGAAGTCACTCTCCAGATCATTATCTTGGTTTATCATTTGTATTTTCTAACTTTTCTCCATCAGATAAAGTTTGTTTCAAGTCTTTATCCTGTAGATCTTCTAAGGCAGTCTTAGAAGATCTGTCTGTCATTCAGATCTGTCATTTCTTTTTTAATATCTTTGGGACATAATCTCATAGTATATCCACAGAAAGAGAAAACATAGTTGGCATTATAATGATGAAAGATGAAGTTCACAAATATTTTATGTATGTGTCTGTGTGTGTGTTTATGATTAGTTTATGAATCCTGACAACTGTAAGGACAAGTCCCTGCAGTTTTCTTGGCAAGATTTTCGAAATGGTTTGCCATTGCCTGCTTCCTAGGACTAAGAGAAAGTGACTGGCCCAGGCACTGAACTA